GCCCCGCGCCCATGACGATGCTGCTGGACGGCGCGCCGCAGTTCCCGGCGCTGGGGGTGGGCGGCTTCGCGGCGCCGCGGCCCCACGACATGGGCGGCCGCGACGCCGCCGCCGCCGCCGGCGTGGCCCTCGGGCCCTTCGGCGACTCCTCCTTCAAGCTGAACGCGGCCCCGCACGAGCTGGGCGCCGCGCAGGGCTCGGCCTTCACGCCGCAGGCGCCGGGCTACGCGAGCGCGCTGGGCCACCACCACCACCACCATCACCACCACCACCACGGCGGGCAGGTGGCCTCYTACGGCGGCGCCGCCGCCTTCAACTCCACGCGCGACTTTCTGTTCCGCAACCGCGGCTCGGCGCTGGCGGAGGGCGCGCCGGGCGCGGCGCAGCACGGGCTCTTCGGCGGCGCGGCGGGCGGCATCGCCGAGAGCCCCGGCTACCTGCTCTTCCCCGGGCTGCACGAGCAGAGCCCGAGCCACGCGTCGCCCACGGGGCACGTGGACAACGGGCAGATGCACCTGGGGCTGCGCGGGGAGCTCTTCGGGCGGCCCGAGCCCTACCGCGCCGTGTCCAGCCCGCGCACGGACCCTTACGGCGGGCCGCAGTTCCACAACTACAACGCCATGAACATGAACATGGGCATGAACGTGGCGGCCCACCACCACCACCACCACCACCACGGCCCCGGCGCCTTCTTCCGCTACATGCGGCAGCCCATCAAGCAGGAGCTCTCCTGCAAGTGGCTCGACGAGGGCGCGCTGAGCCGGCCCAAGAAGAGCTGCGACCGGACTTTCAGCACCATGCACGAGCTCGTCACCCATGTCACCATGGAGCACGTCGGCGGCCCCGAGCAGAACAACCACATCTGCTACTGGGACGAGTGCCCGCGCGAGGGCAAGTCCTTCAAGGCGAAATACAAACTGGTGAACCACATCCGCGTGCACACGGGCGAGAAGCCCTTCCCGTGCCCCTTCCCGGGCTGCGGCAAGATCTTCGCCCGCTCCGAGAACCTCAAGATCCACAAGCGGACACACACAGGTAAGGAGCGCGCCGGGCCGGGCCGGGCCGGGCGGGCGCCGCCGCTGCCGAGGGACCCGCGAGTGGTAACGAAACCGTTTTCCGCGATTCCGTGCCCCCCCCGCCCCCTTTTTAATTTTATTTTTTAAAAGCAGGACATACTTTTGACAAAGTATTTTTTTTCACCTAAAACGCAAAGTGTTTTCCTTTCCCTAATGAACGCAAGCGATACTTTCGACCAAACATTTTCACTCGCAGCGCTGTGTTCGGCGTCGGGGCGGGCAGGACGCGAACGCGTTCGGGCTCCGCTCGCTCGGGGCGTTTTGGAAAACGAAAAGCCCGAGCTCAGATGCTCTCCCGGGGCCGCTCGAGCCCGTCCCCGTCCCCGCCGCAGCGGCAACAAAGGCGGCCCCGCAGCCCGCCTTCCCTGCGTGTTTATTATTATTATTTTTATTATTATCTTTGGGGACACGTCCCTCCTTGCCCGCCTGTCCCTCCGCAGGTGAGAAGCCCTTCAAGTGCGAGTTCGAGGGCTGCGACCGGCGCTTCGCCAACAGCAGCGACAGGAAGAAACACATGCACGTGCACACCTCGGACAAGCCCTACATCTGCAAGGTGTGCGACAAGTCCTACACCCACCCCAGCTCGCTTAGGAAACACATGAAGGTAAACGGAGGTGCTCGGGGCGCCTCCGCCGCGGGGGACCCCCCCACCCCCCCCCGGGCGCAGCCCCCATCTCTGCCTGTCGCCTTTAGGTGCACGAATCGCAGGGCTCGGACTCTTCCCCCGCCGCCAGCTCGGGCTACGAGTCCTCGACCCCCCCGGCGGCGGGCGGCAAGGAGCCCAACAAGGCGCCCGCCGCCGCCAACCCCGGCCTGCCGCCCAACTTCAACGAGTGGTACGTGTGAGCCCGGGCCCGCCGCCGGGCCCGGTGCCGCCGCGGGACGGGGCGCCCGCAGCGCCCGGCGCCAGCCGGGGCCGCAGCACGGGGCGCCCGCCGCGCCGCTCCCGCAACCAGGATCCGCAGGGGCTCCTTCGCTTACCCTATTATTATTACTATTTTTCGCAAGCCCAGATGCTGGACTAGCCATGTCCTTCTCTCAGGATTGGATTTATTTTTTTTCTTTTTTTTTTTCTTTCCAGTTGTCATCATTTTTTTTTTTTTTTTTTGCAATCGCTGTTGTTTCTTTTATTCCCCGCTCCCACCCCAACTCTTCTTCTCCGATTCCCCACTTTAAAAAAAAAAAAATTAATTCGATTGTTTTATTTTTTCCTTCTTTCGGTGGGATGTTGACATGAGGATGGAAATTCTCCTTCGCCTTAGTGGTGATTGTTTAAACTTACAGTCTTAAACCGTGCCAAAGTCCTGTTATGTCTTGAACTTTCCTCTCCAGCTCTCCTGCTGCTTCTCTTTCTCTCTCTCTCCGCTCCCCTCCTCTTCCTCCTCTCTCTCCAAGCATTACACTTGTGAATGTATTCTCGTCTGATGGGGTCGGTCAGTATTTTTCAGGATGAGGATGTGGTGTCTATTCTACCCAGATTGTGACGTTTAGTATAACGGTTGCCTTTTTGTAATAACTTTTTTTTGTAAATACATATCATGATGCCATATTTATCGTTCGTAATTTAATTATTGATACGAAGTGCCGGGAACTGAACAATATTTATGGGGAAGAAACAAAAAAAAAAAAATTGTTTTCTAACAAAAAAAATACAAACAACAAAAAAAACTCTGTACAGCTTTTGGTTATAACTGCTTTAGCATTAAAAGTTTATTGTTTTGGAAAGAGCCCCCGCGAGCCGTTTGTGACCCGCTCGGGCCACCCCGTGTTGGGGGGAACGGCGCCATCGCGGGCCCGGTCCRGCAGTGCCACCCGTTGTTTTGGGGGCCGAAATGCGGGAAACAATAATAAATAAAAAGGAGCAGAGAGGGGCCGCGTTGCCGCTCGCGCGCGGCGGCTCCTTTGTCCCGCCGCCGAGCTCTGCCGCTGCCCGCGACCCTCGGGCCGCGCCGTGGGAGCCGCCTCGACGGGGAGGCCGCGCCGGGAGCGGTGAGTAACGGGCGGGCCGCCCCCCCACGTGCTTCGCTTCTCGTCTCGTTTTTATTTCTGTTTGTTTGTTTGTTTGTTTGTTCCCGGAGCAGGATGCGGCCGAACCTCCGCCGGAGGGAGGAGGAGTGGAGCGGAGAAGCCCCCCCTGCCGTGCGGAGCTGCCCCCCGAGCGCTGCCCGCAGCGGCCAAGGGCCCCGCGCGGCGCCGGCCGCGGGACCCCCGTGCGGCCCAACCTGGCCTCAGGGCGCTGGGGGGCCGGGCGGCCCTGGGACCCCCTTGTTAACTCCCAACGAGTCTTTCCTCCCCACTTCCTTCGAGAAAAAGAAAGAAAAAAAGCATTGGGGGGCGGTGGCTGTTAATGGGGCTCGCAGAAATGGAGTGGAGCCGGGTCCCAGCTCCGGCGCTGCCCTGCGAAGGAAGCGGGGAGCCGAGCCGCGCGCACCCAGGCCCCGGACGGGGTCCCCGTGCCGCCGCGGCCGCCTCTCTGCCCCTTTCCGCAGTGCAGGTTTGCTCCCGTTGTGCGTAGGGCTGAGCCCGAGGAGCGCCGGGACGAGCGGAGCCGCTCCGGGCTGCCTCGGGTGCCACCTGGGCCGCGTCCGGACTGCGCCACGCCAGGAAGGTGCCGGTAGGTCCCGTTTTGTTGCTGCTTTGCGGGGCTGGGGGCACGGGGAGACGGGTCCAATGGTGCCAGGGCCCCTCAGCGGCTCCGTGGGGTCCCCGCTGGCTTCTCCCTGCCACCCGTCCCAACGGGTGCTGTGCTGGGCCCACCCAGTGCCGTGGATGACAAGGGCCCAAACMTGGATGATTTGTCCCTCCCTGGGGTGCCCCACTGAGACCCCCACCCTGGGGCCTCTCCATCTACCAGAGGTGGCCCCAGGGTGGGGAGCGGGGAGCAGGAGATSACCCCCCCTGCCCCGGCAGTGTGGGCCCCCCTTGGGCCCAGGCTGGGGAYGGAGCGGGCTGGGAGCGCCCGCAGAGCCCGTGGGGATGTGGGGCAGGGTGTCCGTGGCCGCCCCTGTGACGCTGCGGCCCCACAGCCACCCTGAGCGCCCAGGGGCAGGACAGGCCGCCCTCCTGCTGTGGGCACCGCTGCGTTCACGGGCGACACGATGTTTTATTGTCCCTTTGCCCTTGCCCCTTGCAAGGAGGCGCGGGGAGCCTTGGACCGAGCGGGACCTGCCGCATGTCACCCGCGCGGGGCGGTTCCGACGGGGCCGGGTGCGGGACGGGACGGTGCTGCCGGGGCAGGGGCCGTGTTGGGGCGGCCTCCGGCGCATCCCGAAGGACGGAGCTTGCGCCCGGCGGCGTCCCGGGACGCGGYGGAGCAGGGGCCCTGCTCTGCTGCCCTCGCCCCCCCCTCGGCCTGGTGGTGACCGCTCGTGCGGGCGGGATTAGCTGGATTTGTCCCCACGTAAACAGGMCTCGGGATGGTTTCCTAAAAGGGGTAATGTTGATTCATTGTGCTACAACGCGCTGGAGCAGGGGCAGGCGCTGRGCGGCAGCCAGCCCTTTTTTACCGTGCTTTATGAGGCAGGAATATCTTGATTCCTTTGGTGGCATTGTTTTTGCCTATCTCTCCCTGTATCTGGAGTAAGCCGATGAGAATACTCTGTGTTTTTCCAAGCTTTGTGCATGTCCTGAGCAGCCGGCGGTTGCAGGCAGCGTCCTGAAGGCGGTGGATCAGGTCGTGTTCCTGGGGCTCAGCGCTCCRGCACCGGGAATTAAGTTCCCCTAATCACTCTGTCGGCTTCGAGGCTCTGATTCGCAGAGCAGCGCGTTGGGTGCCGTGTTGTGTGTTTGCATTCTTGTTGTTTTTCCTACRATATTCCTAAATTAAATGCATCACGTACTAACTAAAACCAGCCTTTGCAGCCGAGCCTAACTTCAGGCACTGCTGGATAAACCGTCTGTGTTGTTTGGGGTGCCCGAGCTGCCTGGCGAATCTCTGTGAGGGGAGGCACCCCTGTTTTGGAGAGGTGAACCCCGAGAGCGAGTTGYTGGTCACAGCACAGCAATAACCGTGTTGCGGGGTGCGCAGAGGGGACAGTTTGGGGCGCACGGAGGACGGGGCCCGTGTGGCCCTGCCCTTTGCGGGTCACCTGCACAGGGCCGGAGCCGCGGGACGGGTCGGGGGCGGCCGGGAGGCTCCTCCGGCTGCTCCGGGGCTGCGGGCCGCCGCTCCCGACAGCTCCAACTTTGGGAAACGCCGCCACGGCCGAGAGGCGGCGAATCCGCTCGTGCCGCTGCCCGAAATAAACATACCCGCTCGCTGCTTTTAAATTCCTGCCCCGGCTCCCCAAAGACACGAACACAGGGCAAAACCTTGCGGCGTCTTTTTTCAATATCCTTTTTTTTTTTTTTTTTTTTTTAAATCATTTTTGCTGTTTTCT